CAGTCCTGATAAAATCCAACTTATGAATTCAAATCATGGTCTGGAGAAGTTTCCTTATAAGTAAGAGTAGCCCAATGGGCAGGACTTTTTTTGTCTAAAATGTAGCAGCATCTGCTTCTCATTTTGCGAATCAGTCATTTATCCAGTTTTATGAGACTGAAGTACAAGAGGTCAAATGACTTCAGTTCAGGCACTGTGTTGGTGGATCGTGTTGATAGCATAGCCTGTTCTTCTCTCCTTTAGTCACTAGAGTTTACAAAATGATGCAAAACACAAGTTCCAACATTAATCCAATATTGCTCTTCTCCTGTAACTTATACACACCCGTGTATTAAGACTCTTTAAGACCACATCACCACGTTTTCCCAAGTCCGTACATGTTTTCTGATTAGATGTGTATGCTGGATTTAGCCAAATCCCCACTTAAGTGCTATACTCAATGTATCTAGGTCATTTGCACAACAGTTTTTATTGTAAATCTGTAATAATAAGCCCAGCTCTTGGCAGAATTCAGCATGACAGAAACATTTTATTTCTTCATATAAATGCATGTAAGCTTTCCCACACACTTTCAAAAAAAAAAAAGAAAGGACAAATTGGGTAATTTGTCCAAAGTTTTCCTAGTAAGCCACCCTGGTAGGTGCTACGCTCACATTTTAGGGGAAAAAAAAAGTTAAGAAAAAAGTGGTTGCTGCCTTAAGAAAGTCAGCATCAAATCCATTGGGAAAAGTGGTCTGGCTTGGTTGTGTTAGGGGTTACCACGATCGGAGCCAGGCGCTAGGTTGTGGCAAATCACCTATAGTTGAAACAAGGTAATTATATGACTGGGTTATCTGTGACCTGAATTAATTCCTCCTGATTTGCCGATATGAAATCTAAGCACCAAAGTAATGTAATTTATATCTTTCTTCAAACAGTAAAAAACCTCTTGCAGGATTCCTAGCCAAATGTATTGTGGCTCTGAACGGAGCAAAGTGCACGTGTCACTAGCATGTATAAGAAAAGCCTCAAAGTATGCAATAAAACCTGTCCTTATCCAGACACTTGGTCTTCCTTGGGACAGTGGCTTATCTTGAAGAGAACCATGAGTTGCTGTGCATATTTCAATATATTCCTGAGCATTTCCATAAAGTAAGGTTTTGGAATAGCCTTATTTTCTTCTATTTCCTTTTTTTTTGGTACCCAAACTCATCTCTCAGCTTCAGTGGACCCAAAGCAATGCTGCCAAATTTATGGGATTTGGGTTAGCAGATCTGCAAGCACAGTTTGTCCTCATGCATCAAGACTTCACATTATTTTAATTACCTCTTATTTTTTCTCATAATGTGTATGAAAATCATACAGATGATTTCATGTTGAGCCCGCAAATAATTTCCTCTACTAATTCTGYATCACTCTTGGAGTGAAATTTAGTTCTGCATGTACAAAAAAGGCTGATAAAAATGGGTGTGGGAGAAAGACACAAGGCTCTTTGTCCTCCCTGGAATTTGTGTAAAACCTCAGAGATGAACAAGTTACTTTACCTAACCCAGCCTGGCTATAAATAGGTGGCAGCACCTTAGCCTTTATGTGAACTAGGGAATTCAGCTGCATCTCCTCTGTTGCAATCACACTTGGGAGGCACAGCTCAAATTTGAGATGTTTTTGTGTGTTAGAAGGTCACCAAATGTAACAGAGGGCACTGGGTTTGCTCCAGGGAGAAACCTTGAGCTAGAATAAAGGTGCTGGGGTGATTGGAGCCAAGTGGCTGCTTTGTCTTTGATTTTCCTTCTCTTCTTGTGTTTTCTGTCTGTGCTTTAAGTCCTCCTTAGTGTTCAGTGTCTCAGACTCCATCTTAAATTTCTTCTTCTTCCCACTGGAGAAAAACTCCCAGTGGTTCCAGCACTGGAAGGGACACCAGTGCACGTGGCTGTGCTGTGTCCAAGATGCTGCATTGCTGCAGGGCAGGCAGAGCCAGAGCCCAGCAGGGGCAAAGGGGCAGCCCAGGCCAGGGGGGCTTTCCCAGGAAACGCTTCCCCTTGGGGAAAGATCATTTCCATGTTCCAGCTTGTTGAGGCTGAGCTGTGACTGCTGCATTCATCTTCCCCAGCCTATGTCTTGTGAAGGTGGTTGGAGTGTGGGAACAGGCATCTTTTTGCCAGGGCTTTTTAATGAATTGTACCCATGTACSCTGTACAGGTTTGGGTACAAGGACTCATTTTTGTGCTCATTTTGTTCTGCAGCAGTTGTGTGCTGCAGAATAGTGTGTCACTCCCCWTCCCTAAACTGGCAGCTTAAAATAAGACCATTATCAGTAAAACAGTACCTGAGACGCTAATTTCCACCCCAGTTGAGTTTATTTTGTACTGCCTGTATACTATGTGTGCATGCTGTGGTGCTCCAGTCATGAGTCAACTGCAGAACCAAGCAGGATGGTGGGGATCCAAGCTGCATGGAGGGATGTGGACTGTGCTAGCTCTTCCTGCTCGAGCCTTCACTGGAGCACAGCTAAAGATGGATTTAAGCTATGCTTCTGTTCGTGCTGAGGTGCCTCACACTGGGGCCTGCCTGTACATTMCAGCAGCATTCCCGCTCCAGGCTGGGATGGGACCCAGGTGCCCAGGACTTTGGCATGGGATGGGGAGGACATGTGGGTGCAGAACCCTGATGAGAGCTGCCGCATGCCTGCTGCTGCTTCGTGGAGGCATCGCTCCCTTGCACTGCTTTTAGCACTTGTCCCGTCCCAGCTGAAGATTTTCTTCCCCAGGGTAGCACGTGCATCAGCACTGAATGTTCTGGAGCTCTCCTGGGGTATCCCGGGTGCAGTTGCATGGGGGACACCTGGATATGCAAGATCTAACCTGTTTCTTAAATGAAATGACCATCTCATAGAGTTTGCCACGCTCCAGGCTCCATGCCACAGCTCAATGATGGCTTGATTACCAACCTCTACTTATGGAGTCCCTGCAATCACGGGTATTTTAAACAAATTTCCTCCAGTTTGTATGCACGAGTTGTCAGACAGGATGCAAATATCCTTGTCCTTTGTGGTGCAAAGTCTGGAGTGTGGAAGTGCAAGCCCGACGGGAATAGCTGCCGTTGGCGCTGCCTCCTCCCYGGCTCCCACGGCTCCGCTGCCGCTCGCTCTGCAGCTGGGGCAGGACGGGCTGCGCTAACTGCCTGCCCTAAATGACTTGTGACATTCTTGGACTCTTCGTGACAAAAGTGATGGAGAAAATAGAGAAAAAGGCTCTGTTGGCATCCTTAGAGGAAAAACTGCAACTTTCAAAATATGTCAAGTTTCTGTTTTTTTCCAGTGAAAAACTGCAAGGAGAAAAAGAGAGAGAAACAGAATCTTTGTTGAAATCCTAGTTCTCTGAGTGGAATTAAAATTCAGAGAGTTCCTATCTCTGCAGTGGGAGCCACAATGCATATCCAAAGGCAAAGGGGAGAAAGGTCTCCTGCTCTCATTTCAGGAAGCAGTGAGGATGAGTAACAGCTTTTATAACATGAATTTAAGGGGTGTTTTGTTTGTTATGGGAGTCATGGCTCCCTGTAGCTATGAGGAATCACCTTTTTCTGCAAAGGATTTCATATAAAGGCTAGGCTTGAAAAAGAAAGATGGGAAAAGCACCAAATGAAGAAACAAATCTTTCACCTGGAAACCAAGGATGAAATGGGTGGCCAGTATCACAGTATCACTGTCACGGGCTGGGTGTTCTGCCTGTGGGTGGTATGGCAAGGGAAATACCTAACCAGCAATATATAAACTGTATTTTATGCCTGATGTCCTCTCTCTTAAGGGTAATGAAAACACAGATTAGGATGTGATTTCAGGAAGAGACATTTCTTCGTCTAAGGCATCATAAAAGGCATCATAAAAGCCAGAGTTTCCATCTCTTACTAGTGCTTTAAATAGAGGTTAATTCCATTGAAAAAGTTTTCTTTTTTCTTTAAAACAGAAGTGTCAAGCAGATTACATCTAAAAGAAAGAATCCCAGAGCAGACAGCTGAATAAAGGTGAAAGAAAAAAAACGATACTATGCCAATGGGATAACATTAAGTGAGTCTCCCGGGTTTCTGTTTAAAACATACGGATTAGGAGTCAATCAAAAGGGTTCCCATGSTCATCTTAATTAAAGCTAAATTCCCCTATCCTCAGATGCAAAGAAAGCGAATAACCAGGGCTCAGCACAGGTCTCTGAGGGCCATAAATCAGCTCCTGCTGGAATTGCATCCTCTGGAGCTGCCAGGTAGCACATCCTGCACCCTGGCGGGACTGAGCACCGTGCAAAGGGAGCACAAGCCTGGGAAGGAGGAGAGGGCTCCTCAGGACACCACGGGACGGCTCTCCAAGGAAACACAGCGTGGAAGCAAGTTTTGGGCTGCCTTGCCCAGCCCAAGAGATGGAAAGGGCAAATGCCAAATAAAGCTGAACTTGTGTGCAAAGGAAGGCCGGTGTGCATAGCTGTGTGACATGGAGCACAGGGAGGCCTGAGGAAGGCTGAAATTCCTGTATCTGCCATGGGACAGGAGCTTCCCAAACAGCCCCTTGTATCTGTAAACCAAGACGCTGTGGTTAAACCACTTCTTCTGATCGGTCCATTATAGGCATTTAATAGACTAAACAGTGTAATACATCTACAGGACATACATTAGTCGAGTATTATGTACAGGTGGCACTTTACAAAATTAGAACTGAAATAGAGCAAAACCCAACAATGCCTCACTCCATAAAACTTCCTTTCTGCACCACATGAAATATTTCATAAGCTAAACTAGAAAAATATGACTGAATATCTTTTTTTCCCCCTTTTTAGTTTCTACAAAGCTTTTCATCCAGAAAAAAAATACRAAACAACTATCGAGTTTATCAGAGAGACAACACTTGCACACAGACAAAGTAAGTGGACATTCATAGACCTGCAAGAAGAATAAGGAGGGTTTGGTTTGACTAAACAATTTTCTCTCTATCACGCTCTCCTATTTTAGGACCTCTGGTCTGTGTTTGGAAAAATAAAAATGGGAGGAGGAGCTTGGCTTTGTGAGGCTCTTCAAGGGAGGCCACTCAGCTTTTGTAGAAGCTCTAGTTTGAAGCATCCAGTTGCTTCGGTTAAAGTGAGCGATGCGAAGGAGGAAGCAGGGAAGAGATGAGTAGCGAGGCTGGAAAAGTGAAGCCTGGAATTTGTGCACGGGCTGCAGCTGCACGCGCCGCAATGGGAAACGTGGTGGCGAGCGGCGTTTTCGTAGGATTTTGTGTGTTCCTTCAGGAAACACGCGCAGGGAAGTGCCATTGACCTCAGGGGGAAATAGGATAAGGGCCATCCAGAGCAGGAAGGGAGGGAGTGTCTCAAAGCAGACAGCTTAAAAAAATTGGGGGAAGTGTTTCAAATAACCCTTCTTCCTTTTATAAAGTGAAAAGCTAATTAAGTGATACGTCTAACGTCACTCCTTGCGGAGCTGGGCAGATGCAAATTAAAGGAAATCACACACCTAGAGATATGTTGTCATCGTTATTGGKTTTTTTTCCAGAGCTTTATAAAACTTCTTGACCATCAATGCAAAAGCAGGGTTTATAGAGCACCTCGCACCCACCTGGCTGCCTCTCCTGTTCGATTCCTCCCTTGGCAGCAAGTTTGCCAGCCTCAACCCTTATCTCGAGTTTGGTCTCATTTCCACAGCTTATGGGAAAACTGTCACCGACAAAGGGGGTGACAGGAACAGCAACCAGATTTAGAAGGTGCTCTTGAAACCTTCTGGTGAAAGTTAGGTTCTCTGGTGAAATTAGGTTCTTTGGCCAGAATCTCATTCATCCAACCAARCAAGTCTGTGATGGAGTAGGAAAGAACATCTATGTCAAAAAGGCAAAACATGTTTTTAGRTAGTTTGAGAGAACAAAGTTTAAGTATCATGTTATATTGTTCTATTATAAAAAGGGTCCTTGATCCCAAACACCCCAAACAATGAGCTATAATTTTGTACATAAATTAATGTTGCTTTGAAGTAAAATAGTCTTCTTCCTTTGTATTAAACATTCATTGCACAGAATTTTTTGTAAGTAAATATATTAAATTTGGTTGCTAAGAAGGTATAAACTTATCTTATTAATTAATACATCTGGCCAGTAAATTTTATCCATCATCACACAATTAAAAGTTTCCTTTAAAGAAAATTATTACTGGAGAAGAGAACACACTTGAAAGTAAGCTTAGGAATTAATGCTGGAAGAAATCCTATTATTTCATTCCATCTATAGCAAGCAGCTTTTTTTTTTTCTGGCTGCAACATTAATTGGAAGTACAGAGCCCATCCAGCCCCGGAGATGCAGAAAATGCCAGTTATGTAGCTTTCTGGACATTTTCCACTGAAACAGTCAAACCCTTCCRATACAGGCAGTATCTCCATCAGCACTGTCTAAAGGGTAATATTTTGGCCCAAGATCATTGCTTCTCCGGGGATGGTGCCCAGTGGGAGTCTCTGCAAGGTCCCTGTGCAGTAGAATCATTATGGTTGGAAAAGACCTTCAAGATATCAAGTCCAGCTGTAAAGGGCTCACCGCTGTGGAAAAGGACCCTGAATGCATCCCTGAACATAGCAGACAAGGAGAATCCAACGGAAGTCCAGTGTGTCCAGGGACGGCCTGTCCCAACTTAAGCTCTGCTTTCCAGGAGGTGGCTTTATYGGAGCTGCGTGCCAAAGGTGACCAGGACGTGCTGTGGCTGCGGGAGCTCCAAGCCCCGGGCGCGCGAGCAGTCGGTGCCAAGGGCAGGATGGATGCCGGGCACATCCACCCTCCCCAGCCTGCTTCCAGCCCTTCCTTCTGCAGATGGCCTAGGGCAGAACTGGCATCACTTGGGCTGTGCCGCTGAGCTCCTTTCACCCTCGCCAGCCACCACTTTGGGTAGGTCAATGGAAGAACAACTGGGCCTCTGCACTTGTTCTATGCACAAAACATACTGAAAGAAGACTCACAACAACTTCTACTAACAAGGTGGGACAAATTCAGCCCTGGCGGGAGCAGGAGCCGTTCCTGCCGGCTTCAGTGGAGAGAGGAGCGCGTTACGCCACGGCTGGATCCGGGCCACGAAGTGAGCACAAACAGCACGATCCACCCAACCAAGTCTACAACAAACAGTCTCACTCCACGAACACCAGCGACTAGCTATTCCAGTTCATCAATGTACAGCAAGAAAGTATTTCTAAAACTTCTGAACCTTATTGAAAAGACAGTTAATAAAAGGCTGGTTCATCTGAATTTGCACAGGTTAGTCAAAGGGAGACCACTGCTCTAATCCACACCTGGAAGGTTCCTGCATGTAGCAATGTAGGCAAATCTTACACTTGCATCTCTATACAAAAGTTACAAAATCAAATGGTGACATTATATTACATCTATTGTCCGTAATATCACAGTGCTAGTTTTAAATGGCTAAAAACAAGAAAGGTTTTAGATTTAAGACATCCCTTCTGTAGAAATGTAACCCCTTTGTCCTGCTGTTGATATCTGAAAGCAACCTTGCTTAAAAAAGGTAAATCCAATGAAATGTACTTATTGAAATTAGGCTCATTTTTCCTTTATAATCTCATCATGTCTGCGAGGCATTTCCTAATGTCCCATTGTTTCCCAAGGAAAAATTAAACAAATAATATGAATCCCAGCCTGAAAATCAAAATGTTCAAAAGAACAGTTCTAAAGCCTATACACTTCTTACCAGGTACTAACTAAATAAAACCCTTGCAGATGTAAATACAGATTACTTTGACATTTCTTCAGAATGTGTTAGCTTTTCAACAACATTCACAATGAAGTTTCACTTCTGAGGCCACGGAGTTCCTACTCATCCTTTTCAGTTCTGCTTTCCAGAGTATCTGTATCATCTTCCACTTCTTGAGCTGGATGTGCTAAAGTATCTGCAAAGAAATAGCTCATCAGTATGTATTTCCCCATGCAGAGATGCAAGTCTTCACTTGGCCCTGCCTGTCTGGTCTTGCACTTGCAGACCAGCATTGAAACCTGAAGCAGGATGCTCCCAGGGCATCACAGCCTGACTTTGCAGGGTACTTCAGAGTACTATTACTGAGATGAGGTGTTGATCCTTCTCATTGAAAGCAGGAGACCTGCTGAGTGTTCAGCTGTGGGAAGACAACCTGTTACCTGCATGAAATCTGCTTGACCTCTCACTCCTGGAGACCTAACATGCCCTAATATCACGGACACAGAAACATCAGAGGCCATGTATTYGCCTCATATTTCTGCTCAAATGATTACACCCCATAGCTGCCACCCCTGAGCAACAGCCAACTGCAGTAATGCCAACTGCAATAGCAGGTGATTTGACACTCCAAGATTAAACAATTTGTCATAGTTCTTTTGAAGATATTGGAAGGTGCTTCTTGCACCCCATCCTGGCTGCCATCTCTGCACATTCGGACAACAAAGGGTTGTGCACTGAAATGGAAACTGTGTCACACTTTGGAGAAAAAGAGGCCAAACAAACAAACCAATCAAATAGACTAGTCTCCATACATTTGCTGTGCAAGCTATATCCTGATAAGTTCTTATCTTTAGCCAGGTACTCACCCCACAGTAACTCTATTAGTTATATGTAGCTATTTGTGAGTGCCTGTTACATTAGTGCACTCTGGGGACACCACAATGCTTTCAATGTGCAGCTATTAAATTCTTTGCTTCTGCACTTGGAAGTAGGGACACTGTAATGAAAAGGATTACAGAGTTAGTGCTAACATGCCCTGAAATGCCTGTTGGCCATTTGAATGGCCAGCACTGAGGCTGATGTGGCTTTAACACCATCTGCTCAAGAGCGATGAAGAAGTTTTAAGCCCCCAGGACTCTCTTTGCAGTGCAGGTGTTCCTGGGCACCAGCCACTGCAACCCCTGCCAAGCACCTACTGCTCTTTGAAATGTTATCAACTAGCTTCAGTATGGCCTGAAACTCTTATTTTTCTGTGGAAAATGAGAATGAAAATTACTCATTCCAACCTTCCAGATCCATCTGCTGCTGCTGGACGCAGACTCTTTGGTCACCAAGGAGACCCTTCTCCTCGGCCGATTTGAGGTCGTCGGGTGGCCAGCGCAGCTCGCCGCTTTCCACCTCGCCCGACTCGGTGGGCTCCACCACGATCGACGGCAGCCTCTTGGTCAGCTTGGGGTATTTCTCACGTGAGTCTGGGAAGGCCTGGTGAGACATTTGGTGAAAAGCCTCTCAAAGGACTGCTCAGGGACACGTATTCAGAGAAAGGGGGCAAGCATCAGTCGTATCATTTCTACGTTCATCCATCACAGCTTCCAACCAACTTGAGCAGGGCAAAGAACAGGAGACCAGGTCCAGAAATCCAACTTTTCTCACCAGTGTGTTGGGCAGACAATTGTCATGAGCCAGGGTGCATGGACTGGAAACTTRGGTTAAAAAAAAAATCATTTTGTTGCCTAACGCTTGTGTTTCAGCCCTGTTGCAACTTTTAGGACACAAAGGTTGTTGCTGTAATAATAAACTCCTGCAGCCCTTCTAGCTTCTGCCCTTTTACTCTGATATGATTTATTCATGTTTTCTTGCTGTGACAGTTTATTAAGAAGCCACCATTCTGCAGAGCTATTTTGTGTAATGTGCAATTCTCTATTTTATGATGCATTCATGCAAAACGGGTAGCCCCAGAGATCACCTTTACACATAGCACAGCGTCAGCTATTAGTTTCCTTTGTCACTTTGAAACTGCAAGTCAGACACTAGACAGATTAGAACTTGAAGCTGAATTGAGTGTTTTTTTAGTGAAGGATATTATAATATGTAAAAGTGCTTTTTTGTTTTCAATACAGTTAGTTCATTTAAGCCTTTCAGTGAACTTGTTCCATTTCGTTTTGTTTTGTGGAAAATTCCTTCCAAAACCTTCAGATTGTCAGTGTAACATGAACTCTCTTGCCACTTTGCTGAAACCTTATCTCCTGGCTCCTCAAACTTCTGCATATCTGAACCAACAGGCTGTAAATTTCCCCTGACTAGCTAAGTTTCCACTRGCAATAATAAAAGCAAGGTGAAGACTAGGGCTAGGGCACTGAATACTGGATAGAGAGCAAGACTTCTCCAAATTTAATTCCCAGCACAGCACAGATTTGCTGTATGCCCATGCCCTCACTCGCCATGGTCATGCCATGGTGGTTCATCAGCCTTTGCCAGCCTTCATGCAGATGGAAAAAAAATGTTGTTATTRCTATTTTTAGGTAACATAGTTAAGAACTTTTGAATGTGAGAAAGCCCCTGAATTAATCACTGAAGCTAACCCTTTCTAATGCTTGCAGCTGCACTCGCATGGGTGTAACTCATCCTGAACACAAGCCTGTGTCTGTGGTGCCTGTCAGGAAGCTCCCCACAACTTCCCGTCATACAGTCCCTCCTAAGCTGTTTATGAGGSCTGAAAATTCCCTAGCAGATGTCTTGACTAGGAGGAATTTTTTAAGAAGCTGCAAAGCTGCCATTTCCAAATATGAGACAAGGTGAAAGCACCTTGCTCCAAATTCTGTTGCTGCACAATTTCTGGCCACCTTTTGGTAGTTGCATCCCATTGCTCAGCCGGCAGAAAATACCGATAAAATAGTGGGCAAATCGCTCTATTTCCCAGCAGAGTGTGACCTGCTCCATGCAGCCACTGCTTAACTAGCTCGGGTGGGAGAGGGCTGCGTGTGAGATCGCCAGACCCCCGGCCCACTGATAATAGCAAGAGGATCCGGGGTGATGGAGTATCTGTTTTTCCCATCTGCTGTCTGAAGACCTAGGAAATGACACATTCAGATCTAAARATATGCGAAAAGATGGATATTAAGGCTGCAAAGTGAAGCAACAGAATTTAGGAGAAGCAACTGTGCAGTCCCAGTTTGTCTATTTTGGTTTGTGTCGTTCTCATACGGTCTCTTCTCACACGGATCACATCATGTTTTTTCCATTGAAGTCCTGTATTTACCAGGTCCCTCTAGGAATGAGTCAGGACTGGCAGGAAGCAGAGCACTGCCTGTAGCTCTAGCTTTATTTTTCCTGCAGAAGCTGGAGTGTACAACAAGTGGGCAGGAGGCTGCAGGAAGGGAAAGAATGGTCTCCTGGCCAAAGTGCCTTGAAGTTGCCGGAAGAGCCCCRGTTTTCCTGCTGAGTAACAGACTTTGCATAACTCGCTTGTTGTTTTTACTTTTTTTGCTATGTTTGGCTGTCTCTAAAACATGCATAATAACACCTTCTCCTCCCAAAGAGGCACAATAAATGGACCAAAAAAAAAAAAAAAGAAACTCTCTGCAGCATATCATAAGGGTCACCATAGAAAAACCATAAAAAATATGTGTAGAGTTGGAGCTGGAGTTAGCACAATGTTTGGGCTGTGTACAACATCAAAATAATGAAAAATGGGGACCGTATATTAGGTGTAAAAGAGGAAATGAAATGTTGGAAAGGTGCTCCTTAAGCGAGCACTATCCATCCCTTCAGCTGATGAGGCAAGGAAACATCTATAGTACTTTCTGCAATCGCATAAATGGACTTGCACAAGCAGCTTCAGTTCTCACTTTCCTGACTTCAAAATGATTGACTTTGCATTCTTTTGGAGTAGTTTTTGGAGTGCAGCGCTATATTTGCTTGAAATAATGTCTTTCATGTTGAGAAGCAACTCAAATCCAACAGGAAACTTTTAAGAGATTTATGCCACTGCTTGTGACAGCAAGAGCTGGGAGAACAACCACGGAGTCTAAAATGGGAATGTGGGTTGTCACAAGGGTAGTTTGGGACATCCTAATTCTTCCTGTTGAAACCTTCACCATAAGCAGGCATGTGAGTGGGTTTGTGAGTCTGCCAATGGTCAGAAGATCTTCCTCCACATGCCAGTAAATAGCCCTGACCAGTGCAACTCATAAGAGCCATTTATTCTAATGACCCAATGATTTCAAACTATCTCATTTAAAGGAGGGTGCTCTCTTTGAGCTTGAAGCAAGTTTGCTCATTACCAGGCACAGCATCTGTTGTGCCTCTTCACCATGCGATGCTTGGTCGGACTTGAACAAGATGAGACACATTTGCAGGTCTGCTCTTGGAGATGAACACGGTCTCTGCCTGCATCTCTCCAAAGCACTACTRCCATGAGAGGCCTTGCTCCAGAGGAGACCCTTCTGCCACAATTCTCACATTTTTAAGCAAAAGCCATATAGGATCAAAAAAAAAAAAATCAGGAATTGTTTTTCTGTCAGCCGTGCTCAGTGATTCAACATCTACATGTAAGAAAGTTGTTAGTTGCCTCACATTGCTTCTGAAAGCAGGAGACTTTCCTGTTTTTCTAAATTTACCTGGGTGGAAGGTCCTCCTTCTTCCTCAGGAGACTGGYTTAATGCAAACTCCTCCATCACAGGTTCCCGTGTGTTCATCACCTCTGTCATGCTGCAAATATTAAAACAGAATTGGAAAACTCAACTCTTTGGCTCTCCAGTTAATTTTAAAAAGATGTCTTTCATACTTGTTAAAATAGCTGTGCTATAGGCTGTTCTTTCCAAATACCCTCTTGAAACTTGTCTGCCCGTGAGCATTGCCTCTCACAGTTGTGTTTGCTGCTGGCATTCCCACAGCTGCAGGACCACTGCCAGGCAATGTCTGGGGTCACCAGCAATGTGAAGGTGCCACTGTCCTCCCTGCAAGGGCACAGGGAGGGATATTGACCCCAGTCGTCCCACCGGGGATGGTGGAGAGGAGCCCTGTGTAGCCCCAGCAGGACAGTGGGAGCCCTCTGCTACTATCAGCTATTAGTGCACGAGCTCACAAAGTGCATCTGTTGACAAAGAAGTTACTCATGGAAATATCAACCTCGAATAAAATTCACAATCTGATGCTTCATAATGTTTTAAATATTTGCTATTCCCAGATGTCTCTTCTATTTAGCTATGAACCAGCGCTTCTCTTTAAACTGTTAATTCCAAACACACCAGCTATATTGGTGTCCAGGGCCAGATTTTCTGTCATCTTTAGTTGCCTGATCAGAGAGATGTTGAATAGGATTTCCAAATGCATCAGGGAAGGTTTGGCACCCAAATCTCATTTAACACAGGGACTTAGGCAGGGACTAAGCTGCTTATGTGCCTATTAACCATCTCTCAGAGCTGTTTGGCACCCAAGTCRCAACAGCTCTGGCCCTTGTTCTCTCCCTGCTCCGCTTAGCTCTAGGCTCCTCCATCCTCTAGGAGGGTATCTGAACACTTTCTAACGTGTATAAAGCACCAAGCAGCAAACAGAGGCTGAGCTCCACTGTTTGACTTATAGATTAAACGGGCCATGTCCATCTGGGATGGAAATTCAACATCTCCCACAGTGAGATGAACCCTAGGTGGATTTGGCCTAGGGCAYTTCACTCTCCTGAGACAGTATTTGGTATCTGCAGCAGCTCTTCACTACCTGAACCTCCTGCATGGGCCCTTGGGTTCCTCTGCCCCATGGTCCACACCACGGCACCCTAACTGAATGACTAACTGCTCCCACTAACCCTGCCCCTGCCTCGTGCACAAAAGCCTCCTTTGTCAAGTGCTCCTACCAAGAAGTGCAAACTAAAACATCTTAAGCATAAGTCTTTCAGGCTTATATTACCAATTATCCACAAAACTGAATTTAACAATATCTGCAATTACTCCACAGCCCTTCACAATGACTTTAATTAGCTGTAGCACCAAGCAGCGTGATATCATGGAGACTTTCACTCCCACTGCAGTGTATCTCTAAAAGGGTACTGTAGAGCTGGAGGAACCAGAGCTCACCTGAGGGCCAGGGCAGAGGTTTGGGCACTCCTGGAACGGCCAGCCAGGGATCGATGGACACCCAACTGAATGGCACACTTTCCAACGCATGCATGCAATGGGAGAGCACGACCGGGTGCTCTTGTCCCACTCCCCAGAAGGAAGRGAGCAGAGTGATGCCACCAAAACACAGCTGGGAAAATACAGGCCTTTCTGTTCTGTTCTGTTTCTCTCTCTTACTCCTGCAGCACCCAGAGAGCCGTGCCATGACCCACCTGTGGATGCAGCCCTGGGGACGGGTGACCRGGGAGCAGTGAAGCCCCTTCCTGGAGCTGTGACTGCAGTGCCCGCTGTGCCAGCTGCTAGTGGCACTAGGGACAGGGCTAATGACAACACACACGTGTCYTCATACTCTTCCCGCACCGACAGCAGCGTCCTGCTCCCTCCCTTGCCATCAGGTCTTTCTTTTATGACCCTGTCAGGGTCTCACGCCCCAACCCCAACCACCCTGGGCAGCAGGGAAAGGGACTTGGACAAGAAAGTGTGTGTTTTAGGCTGCAATTTATCTCGGTGGCTTTGCAAGGGCTGGAGTTTACAAAGGCTGGGGCTGGGTGGATGCACAACAGACATTAAACCCTGYCGCAAGTCCCAGGGCTCGGCCCCAGGGAGCCCAGTGGCTGCTGCAGTTGCTCCTCAGCTGGCGACTTTATTTCCACCCTCCTTCAATAGGCACCGAGCCCTTAAATCAGGTCCCTGCCCCTGTGCTCTAGCACATCAGAGAGACACATCCACCCGTGTGCTCTCAAATGTGTCATGTAAGCTCAAAGATGCTGTTAGGACCTCATGAAATTCTATTATTGAGCAATAACGGACTCCGTGCTTCCCTAAGACCGCATTATACCCTGTAGATTATTTCTAAATGACAGAGACAAATGATTCTGGCTGGGGAAATGGTGAGAGTCCTGCCAGTGCTAGAGCAGATGCCTCAGTGAATCAGCTCCCAAGCTGTTGAAGCCCAGGCCATTTCAGAAATCTKTGCAACTTGAAGTTTTGATTGAATAGGATAGCAGAAGTGATTGCACTTCATGCGTTTCAGAAAAGAGCGTGGGGCCATGCAATTGGCAAAAGAATTAGGCTCTAACTGGAGTAGATTAATTGTTCTCAGTCTCAGTAACAGAGAGCAGAAGAAATCTATACAGGGCATGATAGCAGTGATGCTTCTAACAAGTTTAACTAAGTATTTATCTCTAAAAATAACTAGCCATAAAAAAAAAGAAAAAAGGTGAAAATAGAGCTGCAAATCAATTCATCCTTCACTTCGAAATCATTTGCAGGACACCACGGAATTGTTTATAAAGCCACYGAATCTGAAAAAGGGGATTTGATCGCTGCTTAGGGTTTGACGTGATATATGTGCAGGAAAACTTTTTATTTTTCAGGCAGTTTTGACAGAGAGTATTGATCCACTTTTCTGCTGCTTTTATGGGAGAAGTACTAACCTGCATCAGAAAAGTAGCGGAAACAAGTGGTTTATTATAAGAACTATCTCATCCTTGAGCTGGATCTTGCATTCATGTAGGTGCTGATATCACCAGTGACATACAGTAGCCATAGTGATGCAAAACAAGGCAATAAATAGCATTTACAAACAAAGAATAAATTCCCTTCTAGTGGATGAGTCACCAACTCTGAACCTTAAAGCGCTTCTAGCATTGAATTAAGAGAAACATTTACTTCTCCTAGGTTTAATTAACCTCAAATTAGGAGAAAAGGAGCAAAATCTATTCTTGCCTTTCCGTGAAAAAACTATATGGAGAGAAGAGTATCTTAAAAACAACAGCTAGCGTTGCAGGACCATCCTATTCTGATATTTTCCAGAGGTGTGGGGCAAATGCATAGCCTAGTTTCTGTTGTTTGTAACTCTGCTAAGAAGGTCACTAACATATAGAGCAGTATATAGGCTGACAAGTGCTACACCACCTACTGCCAAAAGGGCTCAGAAACAACGTGCACACTTTTATTTTAGCTTTGGCRCATAGGGCATAACCGACCTGCAAAATTCCTGGCTGCAAAATGGTAYTTAAATGCAGAATAGCTTCAAGCTTCGAAAACTCAAAGCCCGTATGTGGATGAGGCCAATAGGCAGGTTGGTGACTGGAGCTCCAATCGGAGCAGAAGACACGGGCTCAGCATGGGACAGGTCTCCTGGTCCCCAGGCCAACCCAGGAGGAGCAGGAAAGGGGAAGCCTGGCCAGAACACGAGATTCAGAGAAGGAATAAATACAAAAACGAGACGATCATATAAACAGCACGTTACCTTCAATCACGTAAAAGGACGTTGTTTCTGAAAACGGCCCKTGCTGCAGATGTTCACTTTGTTGGTGAAGCGTTGCACAAACCGTGTCCAATCCTCAACACGTCTGGAAGAGACAATTTGTCAGTGTCAGAGCACGCAACTGGAACGGCAAAGCTGGCAGGGAGCGAGGTGAAAGATTACTACTGTAAACTTGCTGCTTYGGGAGGAGGCGGCAGCAACTCCTACTTCGGAGGTCTGTGTAATTTTCTATGCCAAATGGATAATGGTTTTGCTAAGGATATAGCTCGGATATAGCTCGTAGCATATCTAGTGAATTACCGAGGCAATTAATGTTCTGGAAACACCCAATTTTTTCCAAACTAAAATCCTGTGGCATCTGACTCTTCTCCTGATGCTTATTCCTTAGTGTAAGCTACATAAAAACACTGAAAATCTTTCAGACAGCAATTCTGGTGATCTTTGGAAAATCAGGGGGGAAAAAAAAGGGAAGGGAGTGGGGGGGGAAATACCCTTACTTCATACTACCAGTGAGCTTACTGAAATGTAATTGAAAACACTAAGGAGTGGGGCTATTGTTCAAAAAGCTAATAGTTAAAACACAAAGAAGACAAAATATGCTGAAATAAGGATACTTTAGAATTTCATTACTGCATGTTTCTTACAAATGTCACAGGAGAAGTGATGTTTGGAAAGGTCTACTCCCAACTGAAAGTAATAGTTTTGAGTAGAATCAGGAAACGATGGTCTGGTGAACAGATGTGAAGATTCACCATCCCAAAGCAGGAATCACTGATTTCTTACAAGTCCTCTGTCAAAATGTCTTAGCTGAGGAACTTGAAAACTTATAGTAAAGAAATATAATCAGTCTGGGCCAAAGATGTTTTTTTGAGAAATTTGTTTATCCCTACAGCTTGCCAAATATATATTGATGCCAGTCACAGCTATTTCCTTGGATGGGAAAAAGGTGACGTTTTCAGTGAAGTGAATGGCACTAGTGTATATATTTTATATCCTCCAGTGGTTTGGATTCCAGCCCAAGCGATTAAACAAATCTACCTGCTCTGGAAGCCTTCCTACCAAAATTTATAACRCCGGCTTAACTGCACACCGATTTTATTCAGAAACAGTGACAGAGGAAAATTGTCCATTGCATACTGGAGTTTCTTCTCATGCTACAGTCCAYGCTTACCGCAGGCTAGCGAAGCAGGAAATCACAAATCCACCCAATTTGGAAGACTTTAATTATTCTCTGGCAATTTTYCTTCCTCCCCAAAGATCACACCGACTTCACACAGGCTGATGTTTTGCTCATGACTACATTCAATAGCTGATTCTTGTAGAGAAACCAGAGAGGATCCAACACCATGTCATCCAATACTCTGGGAAGATTTTATCCCACTGCCTATTGCAAAACTACTGTTATAAAACGCATGAAAATTCAGCAGAAGTCATCTACCTTAGATCTCTTCTTTAATAAAGATTAGATACTATAAGAAGAGTTATAATACAGAGTCAGCTACCAATGACAGGCAAAATGATGCAAGGGATTACAAACTGGCCATTACTGTTCACCTCTGGGTCTCTAGCTGGGTAACTAGCCCAGGCCAGTTGTTCTTTCAAGGTGTTTTCACACGGTTCAGTGGTATACATGAATCCACGCAGCAATGAATGACTTAAAACAACATCCGTTGCTTGTCCAGGCTCAGCAAAGGAGCTACGAGTTGAGCTGGCCCAAGACGGAAATCCTCCCCAAAGTTTCTGGGGAACTTTGTGCCTTGCTGCATGCGATGTTTGAAAGGAGCTTCAGCCCCTAGGGCTCAACTACTTGAAAATGAATAAAAACAGAATCATCTGAAGGATGTAGAGTGGAAGAGGCCCCTTCTCCCAGCCCCACACATTAGTATTTAGATGCAAAAAAAGCTTTCTTCCCAACCAAGATTTTGGGCAGCTCAGCATTTCCAGAGTATAAAACCAGCAGTGTGCGTGTGTTCTCTCCAGGGGAAATACTCACTTGATCTGCCTAATAGATGTGATTATCTCCTCTGGCTGACATTAGGGGAAACATTAATACCCTTCCTTCTACAGCACTGCTTAATCTTTTAAAAAACAAGGCATTGCTATTGAGGCCATGCATGAGCCTTTGCTTCAGTGGAAAGAGCCTGGAAACGACACCAGTAGAGCCTCTCACCGTTTATCTCTTCTCGTCTCTTCTTACTTTGACCTGCCTTTTCTGCTCTGCGGATTAGACACCCTGGCACCTCTATTTGCTCTAAGCACCTTCTCTCCAGCTGCCCTCCTTCTGCCCCCACAATTAACCTGCAAACCTTGTCCCCTCCCTTGTCTCATGTTGCTAATCAGCTTCTTCCCTGACACCAGAGATAACAACCCCGGCCTCCTCTTTATTTCTCTCTATTTTTCTTGCTTTGTTTCTCCTGAAAGAAATCCACGATGTGGATTTCCAAGAAAGCCACCATGTGCTGCACATCACGCATTGGGCTGGGAGCTGGGGCTGTTTCCGCGCTGCCGCAACAGAAATAATACTACTACTAATAAAAATATTATTAAATAATAATAGCATAATAATGAAATCACACAGTCCATGAGGCATTGCCAAGGTGAGCCATATGATGGTGTGCGTTGTGACTAACAGTGAGCAACCAGTCGCAGGCTTCAGAGGAAGATGACAGCCCTTGCCTGGGTTTGGAGAGCCCTCCTAAGCCTCCTAGCAAAAAATAATCGATGTAGGGACTACTCTGACGAGCTGGCTGTGTCCTGTCTCCTCAGGAGCCACAGACTCAAGTGAAGCCTATGGAGATACAACCACGGGAATAATGAGCGACCTGACAGCAGAGACCAGAGGCAGGATTTTGTGCAGATACTCTGGCCAGCCAGGGGGTGTGGGAAACTTCKTGGCAGCAGGATCTTCTGGCTTTGTCATGAGAGAAGATTCCACCATGAATAGCAGCAGATTTGGGGTAAATCGACAGCAAATTGCAGTGTAGACGTTTTCAAAGCAAGCATGCTTCATCAGCCAAACAGGAGTAAGCAGCAGATTTCAGCCCTAGTGGCCCTCAGAGCTCTGTGTTGCAGAGGAGCTGAGCGCTGGGAAGTGCCCTTGGAGGGAGCAGCGCTTCTGGAATCGTGTCACTGTCACTGCATCCTGCAGCCCCACCTGTGCTTTTTGAAGCATCCCCCTTGCAACTGTCCCAAAATCAGTGGCACCAGACAGCTCAGCAGGGCTCCAGAGATGTGACCCTCACGCAAATGTCCACACCAAGGCAGTGCTGCCATTAGATTAGCAGCWGCTTGGAGCCAGGCTCCTCCCTGCTCCCCTCCCAGGCTTCCCAAGTTAATCATTCCCCCACTGAGTGTTAATGGAAATATTATGATAACGGCCTAACAATACCACATTGAAAGTTCACCTTGTAGCAAATAAGCGCAGATAGGCTGCARAAATTGGCCTTGAAACACCGCTACATGTGCAAATTCTCATATTTTTTTGCAAGCCAGAAATGGGTGGCCTCCCCTTCGCATTTCAATAGCACAGTCCCAGGGGCTTTACCAGCCTCATACTTAAATTGTGCTCTAGAGAGGTTCCCCACCCTGCTCCACCCCTCCTCCCCCTTTGAGAAGGAGCTCAGGCTCATGGTCTTGGCCTTGTTTTGGTAGGACTGTAAATATTGAGGTCTCAGTTCTCGCCCATGCAATTGAAGTGCRCACARATCCCATTGAATTCAGATAGCACCYCAGACGAACAAGGAATTCAGCCTTGGGCATTCATCCCATTAGAAGCTCTGGTAAATACCAACTTTTCTCCATTCCATGAGTCAAGGCTTTGCTTATGCCACAAAATAGGGAAAAAAAAGTAAAAAACTGTTGGTTCCAAGGGAAGCTGGAACTGATCCTGCTTTAGAATTGTGTTAGAGGTTAGAGAAGTGATGGTCCACCGATGAATCTTYGTAAAGTGGACAATCTCAACAAGCCACAGCTAATTCTGCTTGGTGACTCCTAAAGACCAGCTAGATCCAAGAAGATCTTTCCATCTATGGGGAGAAGGCCCTTATCTGGGCCATTTTGACGCAGTAGATCAGGCTGGCAGTTCAACCAGGGCTGCTGCGTGGGTGATCTAGGACACAGCTACAGTTGTTGTGGCAAATGAAGAAATAGAGGGACTGTTAACAGCACACCAGAAGGTGTGTGTCCCTGCAAGGAAAATCAGTCAGTTTTCTAGGGCCAGGTGCTCCTATAGAGCCAACTTTTCTGTGCCCTCGTCTCATGTTATTGCCCTAAGCATCTTTGCTTCTGACATCCCTTTAACCATCAGATGATGCCTTGAACAACAGGTATAAAAGCGGATCCCTCAATGCCTTAATGAATTCAATAAATGAAATCTGAGAACAACGATGATCTACACATTATTTGATAACCTCTCTGATATCTACAGCTGTTTGGGGCTGCTCAGCAATATGTGCCAGATGCTCAGATGTTGGGCATCATCTGGGGTGAGACCAAGGAAAGAGGTTACTCCCTCTTTTTTCCCTGCTGTGACTAAGCTATAGATTAAGCCATGTGATGCTTAAGGCCAAATACATATCTGTGCCATGCACAGTTGAGACCTCTTCCCTGAGGATGGGACATCAGCTTCAGCATCTTGGTGCGTCTTAACTGAATGCTTTCCTCAGTGCAGCTCTGCAGCCTCCCCTTCCAGCGTGAGCACCTACTAAGCTAAGCTTTTAGGCAATGCAGACGGGAACCTGGACAGTTTCTTTGTTTCCTCTGGTTGTACATCTGTAGTGGACACATCTGATGAAGTGTTGTGAGCTCCATGAGACTAGAGAGATGCAAATTACAACATGGACCACTGAAGATAAATGTGCGTGTGTATGAACTCCTATTTAAACCTCCCACTTCTTTTTGGATGCAAATCTCTTCCCTAAGCAACTGAGAAAAGTGCGATACGTGTCAGAGTCTGGAGATTAGAGATCTGTTCTGTTCCTCGTTTCAGAAGCTCTTGTCTTCTGCCACCCACGCAGTACTTGAGTGCTGCTCTCCACAGGCCAAAGCTGCCTTCCTCTCCTCGGCGGCATGCGCCRTGCAGGAGAT